GCGTTGTCGTGTAAAGCCGGCCTGGGATGAAATTGAATTGTTTCATGCTGCACCTGAACTTGCTGATTCCCTCTAAAACTGGTACAACGCGCTGTTCCACTGACTGCGGTGACTCGTAAGGGAGAAGAAGACTGCCAGTTTTCAAAGATGGATGTAAACGATGTTGGATTGAAAACATTTTTAACAATCTGCTTTGCAAAAGTTTTATGAGGAAGGAAATTCATTCAGCATGTTTTTTGTTGGGCCTCAAGGATACACACTTTGCATTCTGGTGAGAGAGAGAATGAATGAAATCATAACTTTTGTCAATTTCCAAGAAAACACCACAGGGCAACTTTTTAAAGAATTACTTGCTTACCCTGTGAAGGTTTCCTGAAAACCAAAACAATGATAAATCAATTTCCTTCCTTTTTATAAGATATTTGCAAAGCAGATTTTTCTTTCTTTGCATTGTTTACATTCATGTTTACTTAGTATCGACCTTCCCTGCCTTTGTTGGAGCACTGCTGCACATTACGTCACCCCGTGCACGTGTATCCTCGTCCACAAGACAAAACAGACAAACTTATTTAAAATGCTGCCCCATAGCACCAGAGGTCAAAAACTCCACAGGAAATGTTTTTAAAGTGCATTTGAAGTCAGTGAAGCGCTAAATGAAAAGGAAAAAGGGGTGAATGTTTGTGTACCAACCCTTTTTCACCTGCTCCTGTTCTGTCTTTCAGGCGGACATGAATAAAGTTCGTATCGATGAAGCCAACCAGAGAGCCAACAAGCTCATCAAGTAGACAAGGAACCCCGCTTCCGCCAGTTTTATCCATCAACCTTGAGCCTCTGTCGCTGCACCCATACACACACACACACACACACACTGCCTTGTTGTGCACATGCGCAAACACACACTCTTAGACATAAAAAAAATTCAGTCTGGAAGAATATTTTTGCCAGCAGTGTGCCTGCCTTTACTGCACCAAGATGTAAGTTGAATACACAAACATTTATACATTTTATCAATTGACTACCAATATAGCCTTTGACATATGTATTTCATAGTCATGCTGGACTTTGAGAAGCAGGCTGGGCATCAGAAACTGCATGCAGATGTGACTGACTGCCTATATCTGCTGTTTGATACCAAATGTGCACAAGACCTGTTGTATCATATCTCATTCACAGGAAGGAAAGCGGCACAGGTCAGCTGCTTTTCTTTCTTATTTTTTCCTCTTTTCTGCCTTTCTCTTAAAGTCAGGAACTATGAACTTTCTCTCTTTGTCTGTGTGCGTCTCTGGTTTGTATGGATGAGGTCACAGATCCAGACTCATTAACTATCCTTTAGTGATATACAGCACAGCGTTAACTTATGTATCACCTCCTGATGGTCCTGTCTCCATACAGCTACATCTAGTTGAATCAAAAAAACATTGATTTTAGTCTGAAAATGTATCTTCCTCAAATTCTTATTGGTTCAATGTGTAATTAAGTTTATTGTATCATGTATTATTTTGAGATGACATGCTTATTTAATTATTCTTTATCAAGCAGAAATGACCTGTGAATAAAGTTGTGTTTTTTAACACTTTGTTCTCATGTCATTTGTGCCGTTTGAGATGTAAAAGCTATTTCAAAAAATATCAAATGTTGTGCTTTGGGGGTGAGTCATGGCAAATTCTTTCATGCTGGCTTTCAAAGCACCTACCCCTGAATGATAGCAATTTAAAGTTTTCGTTTTCTGACTACTGAGAAGTCAAGGTTGTTTGTAACATTTTGCGAAAAAGAATTGTGAGTCGGTGACCTGGTGTTAGAAATTTTAATATATATAGCAATCACTTGTCCTTCAAATGTGAAGGAGGGTCAGTACACATCATAAGTAACGTTCATCATTAGCTCCTCCAAGGCATCTAGTTTAGTTTATAATAACACTGAATATGAGAAACACAAGAGTGAATGGGTGAATAAAAGTTGATTTGTCATCAGTGGATCAACTGCTGTACTTCATATTTAGCGTCTCTCTAGGTTTTTCCACTCTGAGCGCAGTGTTGATGTACATACTGAAACATACTATAGCTATAGTCATTCTGTTAATCTAATTGCATTCTTCTTTCCTCCTGGTTAATAGAGATTTATAGCACCCGAGAGGAGATTTAACAGCCTATGCAGGGTTCCTACACAAGTCTGGTTATGTGCGGAAAATTAATTTCCTCAAGTTTGATAATTGCAGTCTGTATGAAAACAAATGTTCAGTCCTGAAACAGACGGCTGTACATTGTTTAATCTACTATCATTTCTCATATTAGCTCACTGGGTCACTGTCGTTATGGCATATGCAGGGATTTTGTCATAATGAAAATGACTGAGAATCTTACAAATTAAAGCTATCAGTCAGGAAAATGTTTTAATTTAGGAATGGGAGAATGTGCAGGACCCGGTTATTGCCTTTTTATAGATGCTCTATGGTTGTGTTCTAACAGCCAGTGTATCACAAACAGCTCCTCTTGCATCTGTTCTGTAAATAGCCAGTTTTCACAGCAGGGCTACAGTAAAATGATAATATCTGATCATGGAAAGCATAATTTGTTTTGTCGAAGCCGTAGCCAGGCTGAGAAATTACTGCTGGCAGCAAGATGCAAAAGTGTACATGTAAATGAATGATGTTTAAGGGGTAAACATAGAAGCAGAATAAGTTGTGGCGGGCTGTTAAGGCCTCGCTGTGGGAAATTGATAAAGTGATACAGTATGCTGAAAGTATCTCTCATATGCATCTTCTGGCTTGTTTGTTTTGGGAAAAAAATGATAATTTGTATTCTCTGCTGCAGGCATACACCTATTGAGTTTGTAAAGATTGAAATGAACTGTTATTCAGGGCTTTGTATTGCTATAAGTGATCACCCTCAGCCTGTTACTTGTCAGCTGAGATCTAATTAGTCTAGCCTAAGGCCGCCTCGCTGTCTTGAGGCTGTTTATTCATTGTTGTACCAACAGCCACTGGAATGTAAATCCAACCGTTTTGTCTATTTTGAATATGTTCATATGCAGGTCGTCTTATCTGAAATTAGCTTGGTTAACGGATGACTGTACAACAAAGTAAAAATGCCTTTTGTTTTCATGGCTGCCTCTGTTAAATATTTGTACTCAATAAATCTATTTTGAAATTCATTGTATTGCACCTTTTTAATGTATTAACAATTATAATAAAATCAGTATTCATTCAAAATAGGCAACCGTGGTCATGAATTTCAAAGTTTAGCTTGAGGTCAATAAATCAGCCCAAACTGTATTGTTTCAGGAGTTTATTTTAAAGTTTATTCTCTCAAAATGTATTTGATATTTATTGTCAACATTTTTGGATATTTTACATAGCTAGAGAGTACAAAATGCAGATTAAAAACCACTGAACAGAAAAGGCAGGTAGGAAGGAGTGGAGGAATAAACAAAGTGGATGGAGGTGACAGAGTAGAAGTGTCAGAATCTGAGTTACTGTAGATAGAGTGACCCATAAAAACAAGACTGGATACATGTGATGCAAGTTTCCCAAACCATTGCGAGCTTTATAACAGAGAAATGTGACTACTGGCACTAGTAGCACAGACGTGATGTTCTTCTGGTCGTTTCTTGTTTTGGACGGCCTCGAGAAGATCATATATTTAAGAACTACTTTGTTCCTTTGTAAGTAATCTAGACAGAGATCATCATGATGCTACCACATTTCCTCCTGAGCTGAACAGTCATGTTTATCTTTCTACACCTGACTTCCATTGTTTCAATGAGGTCACTTGAGTTGGGTCGTAGTTCAGGGACAGAGCCCACAGTACAAGGCAAGACGGCAGTGGGAGAGTGTATGTGTGAGCCACCATCCATCCTGGTGACAAATTAACATCTACAAACGCTGTTCCATATATTGTACATACTCTATATTCCTTGTATGCATATATAGATTACAATTTCTTATTCTATAATGGCTTTATTGTTAAATGTACCAAATTTTGCACTTCCTTCCTTTCTCCCCTTACATTCATATTAAAGACACATTCTCTCAGCTCCATACTGGTACTGTATGATCCTCTCCTTAGATCAAGAGCATGCCTGGTCCTGTTGTGTGGTTTGGAAAAGCAGTCAAGATTCATCTGACCCAGCTTGTCCTAGACTTTGGCTGGTACCGTAAAAACCTTTTGAATAATAGTCCGGGCGCCTTTTCTGCTTTTACGAGAGCACCTGGTTTAAACTCTAGTTGGCTGTAATTTGACACTCATACAATAAATTTGAGTTTGTGAGACCAGAGGGGTGTTTCATAAATGCAGATTACCAGTTAAACCATGCTTATTTCAGCAAGTCGGGCCTATTTTTACATGAAGGAGGTTTAAATAAGACCTGAAACAGGCTTTTTTTTTTAAAGTTTCTGTGTTTAAGGAGCTGCACTTAAAAATGTATCTTTTCCAGCCTTCATTCCAGTCAACATATGTCTTTTAAATGCACTGCAATTTACAATAACAAAAAACAACTCTGACCCGATGACTGTTGCTTCATAGTAAGCAGCATTTTCACCATTTGTTCTCTCTTTAATTGCATTTTTAAAATAATGAAGAACTAGGCATCCAGAAACCACTGGCAGGCAGCCAATTTCAAGGTATTTAAATTGTGTTTTCACCATGTGGGGGCTGTTATTTCACTAAGTGGCAAAGTAATACTGACACAGAAGTTTAGGTTCTAAAAATGCTAATTATCTTCTTGTCATTGCCGTGCTTTAAAATAAATTACTAAGCTGGGGTCTTAATGTACATTTCAAAGTTGCTTAATGGCATCTTGTATTTTATATATCTACTTATTATTTTTTAGTCTCACTGTTGACCCACCGCATTCAGCCAGAAGTTGTCTCTATTTTGTTTATGGCAGTGGTTTTGTCCATTTTCTTTATTCTGAATTAACGTTATCAGTGCTTCACGTCTCGGGTCCAAACTTGACTTTAGGAAATTGATTAATCCTGGTTCAGTTTGTTAGGCTAATTTCAAGTTGAGGCTTTTCACAATAAGACTGACTTTTCTGAGCCACCTTTATGAAACACCCTTCATATATATGATAACAGAATATATTTTCACGTGTGTCTCTACAAGCCAAAGTTGAAGACAAATAAGGCAGGTCAAGTTGGTCTTGATTGAAGGTTCAAGAATATCACAATAGCACCATATCAAACTAACGTAAAACATACTTCATGCATCTGTAGATATATAAACTGTATATGTATATATGTTAATGATTAGATATGAAATTTAGGGTTCAATACACAAGTGTTGAATATATTTCAAGTTCACAGAAATAACTACTGCCACAGTTCAGTTGAGAATACAGAATGAGTGGTTCAATATTCAAAACTGACTGATTGTGGTGTCTCATGACAATGCTCAGATGTCATCAGTTAAAATCTCAACAGTCAAACCCTTCACAGTGCATAGCGCATTTATTTTTGCATGCCTGCAATTAACACTTAGTGTGTGTGTGCACTGTACAGCACTGCACTACGGTATGCTGATCACCAAGTCTTAACACCGCATTTACAAAGCTTCACTCTGTTCTGGTTCTATAGGTAGCGTTTAGCGCTCCAAATTCAAACAGCACAGTATTACAGTTCACAACCATTATATAAGGCAGATTAATAAAAGTACTCTTCAGTACTCTTGAGTCACCCTATGTTCATTACAGGCCTTCGTATCGTACATAGCTATGTCGTAGCATGCCATACCAAAGCCAAAATTGCAGCAAAAGTAACACAAAAAAAAAGTTTAACAAACATTCTTTGGTTGAGTGTGAAAGAAGCATTCCTGTGCTTTAATTTAATGCTTTAAATTTGGCATTTTGTTGAAAAGAACACAAAAAGTGGACCTTTTGCAATGATACACTGGCTTAAATACAGGCAAAAGAGTGATGGCTTTAACCTAAACTACAATATTTAATCCTCGCAAAATAATATAAAAAAATCTAGTGATAAAAAGCTCGCTCTGACCGATTGTACACAAATACTACTTTCTCTTACCAGGTTGCCTAGGCAACCCTCCCT